GTGCGCCTCTATGGTATTTGATATGATATAAATTAATATGCAGGAAGATTCTACTAAAGCAGCGAGTTGAACACAGCCGCTCTGCCCCACGCCTGGAGCGCTGTGTGGGGTTGTGGTGACCCCAGGGCAGGACCCGGCCCTTGGCCTTGTTGCCCCTCACCCCATTGGGCTGGGCCCATGGCTCCAGCCTGTCCAGGTCCCTCTGCAGAGCCCCCCTTCCCCCCAGCAGATCCACACTCCCACCCAGCTCGGTGTCATCTCCCAACTGGCTGAGGGCGCCCTCGATCCCCTCGTCCAGGTCATGGATGAAGACATTAAACAGAACCCGGCCCAGCACTGAGCCCTGGGGGCCACCGCTTATGCCCAGCCACCAGCTGGATTTGACTCCGATGACCACAACTCCCTGGGCTCGGCCATCCAGCCGGTTTTTTACCCAGCAAAGACCGCGCCTCTCCAGGCCATCACTTACCTTATGCACTGGATTATAGGTGATATTATGAGAAGAATTTTGCACGTTGCCGTTCTGTAACACGGTAACCGACACCGGTTCCTGGAGCAATCCCAATATTTTGATTTCTTCAAACCTCAGGTTGTCCGGGTCGGTGTAGTTGTTGTTCGTGACGTTCATTTCTATGACGTTCTGAGGGAGAATCAAATAACGGCATTGAACCACCAAAATTTCCACTGATTTAAATGGAGAAGCGACATGTGTTTTTCTGTTATATAGACATATAAAATATTCTTATGTATATTAAATATTTTTGGGTATTATATGCCTATAATCCATTGACTTTTCTTGACATAGGAAAGCCACACCCCGCTCAACTATATTTAATCATAGAAAATATATTTAATCGTAGAATCATTTAGGTTGAAAAAGACCTTGGAGATCCCCAAGCCCAACCCTTGACCCAACCCTGCCATCCCACCACAAAACCCCGGCCCCAAGGGCCACGGCCCCACGGGTTTTGAACCCCCCGGGGGTGGGGACTCAACCCCTTCCCTGGGCAGCCCCTTCCAGTGCCTGACAGCCCCAAGGGGAAGGAATTGTTCCCCATGGCCAACCTCACCCTGCCCTGGCACAACTTGAGG